ATTTTGTCCATTTCTTTGCTCACATAGGACACCCCATAATGAAACTAATAATGCTTTACTTACTTTTCCAGCTGTTCCGCCTTCTTTTTTAATTTTGTATAATATATTTCCCCATTTACCGAACATATCACTTCCACTAACACAGGTATTTTTTTCGTATATAAGTGCATTTGGTGATTCATCTAATAAATATACTTTTAAACCATTTCTTTTGGCACACTCTAAATCAAAATGTGTATAAATTCCATGTGGATTATATCGTAAATATCTAGTGCATTGCAAGCTTTTCTTCGGAGGTTTTCCTTCTATTGTTGCTTTAAAAATTCCATATGGAAATTTATTCCATTTTTCCACTAAAGATACGTCTATAGTATGAAACTTACCTGTAGTAATTGGCCATGATGCTTCTTTCTTTAACATTTCATATATATACATCAAATTTACGTCATATTGAATAGCTTCTTCATATTTCTCTGCAAATACTAAAGCACCAGTTGTTGCTAAATTTAACCATGCATTTTCTTTCTCGTCGATTTTTCCTCTTCTGTTCAGTGCTAAAGTTGTTTCTCGAAAAAGTTTTAAACTTGTCAAAGTATAACTTCCAGATTTCCACATATCGACCAGTCCATTTGTTTTTTCTGCTATAGCTTCTGATTCTTCGTTAATTCTTTTATATGCTTCTTCAATGGTTTCACTATTATCTGCTTTAATAAAATAATATTTGTTAGATAATGTACAAAAATCTTCTTTAACTCCATACCATTTTCTTTTTTTATCATAAAACTCGATTACATTTGGTATATTTTTATAGATCAGGATAGTTTTGTTTCGCTTTGTACTAGATCCTATCTCCGGGTCGACTGCCGGCGCACTTGCCTCTCTCAGCTGAAGTGTTGGTGGGTTTTCATCGAACGATATGAGATCACCTTCAGGAGTTGATGGCGGATTTTGCTCTGGAGTAACGTTTTCAGTTTGAGGTGTATTTCGCTCTGGGGTAATGTTTCCTACATTTTGCATTATAAGCAAAGCTGGTTGGCATTGTCCTTTACGAAGGTTTCCATTTAAATTCATGTGTTTATTAAGATCTCAAGTTTTACCAGTTCTTATTTCTCGATCACAACCTGGACATTTAAGTATCTTAGCCATAGTAATATATTTTTCAGTGTTTTTTATTACAGTCAGGTTCTTTCCAAATTTGGAATTTCCAAATATGTAATGATCGACGTGGCTAATGCAAAAAATAACAGAAGGGAACACAAAAATTTAACTCATGACATTTGTTGATTGACCAATTAAAACCGCGAATTTGATAAACGTAGAAATAAATATGGGTTTGATTCATTTTGTCAACAATCACTTCAACAATTGTTTTGTTAACGAATTTAAGAAGTTGGAAGCAACCATTGAAATAGTCAAATAAATTAAATCATACTACTCGAAAATGTATTTAAAGGGTTGGTTTTTGACTTGGTCGAAGAATAACTCTCTTCCTAACTCTTCTCTTGA